TTCCCCAATTAAAAAAATCTTAAAAAAAAAAAGAACAAAGTGGAAGGTATTACACTACCCAAAATCAAATCATACTACAAGGGTATAGTAAACAAAACAGTATCATACTGGCATAATAACAGACACATACAATAGATCAATGGAACAGAATAGAGAGCCCAGAAATAAACCCATCCATATATGGTCATTTAGACTATGACAATGAAAGCAAGGATTTACATTGGGGTAAAGATAGTCTATTTAGTAAATGGTGCTGAAAAAAATTGGCCTGACACATGCAAAAAAATGAAACTGGACCACCTCCTTATGCCATATACAAAAACAAATTCTAAATGGATTAAAGACTTAAATGTAGTACCTGAAACCATAAAACTCCTAGAAGAAAATATAGGGAGTACATTTGCAGACATTACCCTGAGTAATATTTTTAATGATATATCCCCTTGGACAAGAGAAATAAAAGAAAAAATAAACATATAGGCTTACAATAAACTTAAAAGTTTTTTCACAGCAAAGGAAACCATCAATAAAGCAAAAAGGCAGCTTACTGAATGAAAGAAGATAATTGTCAACGATATCTCTGATAAGGGGTTAATATCCAAAATTTATAAAACACTCATTCAACTCAACACCACAAAAACAAACAACCCAATTAAAAAATGGGCAGAGGATATGAAGAGACATTTCTTTAAAGAGGCCATACAGATGACCAACAAGCATATGAAAAAATGCTCAGCCTCACTAATCATTAGAGAAATGCAAATAAAAACCACAATGAAATACCACCTAACTCCGGACACAATGGCTATCATCAATAAATCAACAAACAAGTTCTGGTGAGGTTGTGGAGAAAAGGGAACCCTGGTGCACTGTTGGTGAGATTGCAGATTGGTGCGGCCTCTATGGAAATCAATATGGAGGTATCTCAAAAAACTGAAAATGGAACTATCTTATGACCCAACAATTCCACTTTTAGGTATCTATCCAGAGAAACCCAAGATGCTAACTTGAAAAAATATATGCACCCCTATGTTTATTACAGCACTATTTACAATAGCCAAGACTTGGTAACAACCAAAATACCCATAGGTAGACGACTGGATTAAGAAACTGTGGTACATTTACACAATGGAGTATTATTCAGCTATAAAGAAGAATGAAATCTTATCATTTGAAACAATATGGATGGGCCTAGAGAACATTACACTAAGTGAAATAAGTCAGTCGGAGAAAGACAAATACCATATGATCTCACTTATATGTGGAATCTAAAGAACTGAATAAATGAGCAAAGTAAATAGAAATAATCTCAGAGATATAGAGGAAAATCTGATGGTTGTGAGACCGGTGGGGGGTAGGGATGAGAGAGAAGGGGAAGGGATTAGACAGTATAAATTGGTAACTACAAGGTTGCCTCAGGGACAATGACAGACAGTTTGGGGAGTATAATCAATAACGTTGTAAATACTTTGTAGGGTGTCAAGTGGACACATGTCTTGTTAGGGAGACCACTTCATGGACAGTGTAGAGGCTTGACCACTGCACTGTTCACCTGAAGCTGAAGCTGAATAATGTTGTATGTCAACTATAATTTAATATATGTATATGGTCATGGAATGTGGAGTATAGTGTGGAGAGTGGAGTCAATGGAATTATAATAGCTATGTATGTTGGGGGGGCAGTGAATTGGGGAGGGGAGTTGTCATTTTGAGGGGTGAAATGTATAACTATTGCATTGTTTTGTACACCTGAAATTAAAAAACAAAAAGACAATGAATTGACATTCTCAAGGTGTTAAAATTACTGCCAAGCTAGCATTTTTGTCAGGAAAAATATCCAAAAAAAATCTAGCCCAAGAAAAATGATGAATCAGAGCTTCTCAACAAAATACACATATGAAAAGGTAAGCCAAATTGGGAAAAGATATTTGTAATACATGTAACTGAAAACTCATCTAGATTTTTTAAAAAGGGAAAAAATACAGTAAGAAAAGTACAACTAAATTTCTTTTAAATGGAGGGAAAACACATTTGAAGAGGCACTTCACAAAAGGAAATATCCAAATGGCCAATAATTTGTGAAAGGTGCTCAACATTATTTAGTGAAAGGCACATTAAAACAAGAATGTAATACCAATACATAAAGACTGGCAAATCCAAATGTTTGCAAGGTTGTAGCACAACTGGAACTCTCATACATTTGTTGGTGGCAGCATGAAATGGTACATCCACTTTGGAAATGCGGCAGTTAAAAGTTAAACATATACCTACTCTATGGCCCCATAATTTTACTACTGGGCGTATGCCCTAAAAGGATGAGCATATAGGTCAAACAAAAAGGATCTGTACAAAAATGTTAACCATAATAGCACCCCTGCCCCCCCAAACACCCCCACAAATGTAAATCAGTAGAATACATAAATTAATTGCAGCGTACACACAATGGAAAACTCAGCAACAAATATGTATGTAATAACATACATGTGCTGAAAAGAAGCCAGTGTAAGAATGCATACTGCATGGTTCCATTATATGAAGTTTAACAACAAGCAAAACTAATATGTGATAGAATTCAGAATAGTAGTTAACTGGGAAGGGGCAGGATACTTTCTGGCAGGGTAGAATTGTTCTACATCCTGATCTGAGTAATGGTTTCACAGGGTGTGTGTGTGTGTGTGTGTGTGTGTGTGTGTGTGTGTGTGTGTGTGTGTGTGTGTACATGTAAAAATGAATGAAGCTATACACAAGATTTAAGCATTTTACTAACTTTAATGTATACATCTAAAAAAATAAGACCAGAGATAAAAAGGGACCTATCAAAGTTACAAAAGTTTCGAATCAACAGCATAAAACAGTCCTAAATATGTGTATATATAAAACAGCATTGACATATAATAAGCAAAAACAGACAGAAAAGAGGAGAAAGAAATACATCCATAATCATATATGAAGACTTTAACAGACTCCATCTAGTAACAGGGAGAAGAAACAGAATTTAAAGATAAGGATATAGAAGACTTGAAAAAAAATAAAGTTGACAAAATTGACATATATATATAATACTATATTAACAACTATAGGATATACTTTTTTTAAAGTACATTGGAACATTTACCATAATTGACATGCTGAACCACAAATCAAACCTCAACAAAGGATAGAAATGATACAGAATATATTCTTTGATAACAATGAAATTAAGGTAGAACTCAAGTACTAAAAATATTTGATTTCTTAAGCCAGATAGTGGGTGTAAGATATTTGATTTTTTATTTTTACCAGTACCTACACGTATGCTCTTATGTGTACATTTAATAAAAATATTAATAAAAACAAAACTATATTATTCATTAAAACAAGAACTTATGAGAATTTCTGGAAAGTAAAAATATGACCGGTATAATTTAAAATTATAAAATTGTGGTCACAGGGTAAGATCAAACTAGTGAAATGGAAGATAGAACAGAACTCAGTGTAAAAAAATCAACAAGTACAAATTAAGAGGGGAAAAAATCATGGAGGAAGGCTCTTTAACCCTCCATCGGGCGCAATGCAAAAGTTACAAGTTTGGACGCAATGCATCTAACTAGATGTGTGTATGACATTTATTTATTTAAATTGAAAATGATTGAAAATAATGTGTAAGCATGCTTATTATTTATTCAGAATGAAATGTTACTTTGCCACAATAAAAACAATATGTTTATTACATAAATTCATTATAAAAATCAACAGAAATTAAAAACATAAAACTAAAACAAAATTTGTCATTTAATACAACAACAAAAAACTAATCTGATTGCTCTTCATCAGCTTCATTGCCATCGAATTTCGAGTTGAAACAATGTTCACAAATCATTGTTGCATGTTGTAAACACAAAAGTTGTTTGCAAAGTTTACAGAAGTATTTGGAATACCTTTGTCTTTTGTTTGCTACGCAAGGTGCACACTGTTTTCTTTTGTTTGACAAAGTGGTGGCCTCAGGTTCTTCTGCTTGAACTTTGACAGCAGGTGTAGTAAACTTCAGCAATTTTTGTTGGAGAAGTGAAGGAATTCCCTTATTTGTTGTGGCTCTTTGGTTCATATGTTTGGCTACCAATTCCCTACTGTGGATGGAAAAGGGGCCGCAGGTTAAACTTGACAAGCTCAGAAGATTAAAAAGAACCACATAAGATGGCATGAGCATAAAAACCTTCATAACCTAGTGGGGCATGGTGGGAAGTCACATCTTTAGCTTACTTCATAAAAGTAGTCTATGCCTTTTCAGTGAGTCTCTGTTTTTCTGCACCTAAGACAGCATCTTTAATCCTTTTTCCAGACCAGAGCTGAAAACTGCAAAAGTCCTCATTATTATGCTTGTCTCCTAATTACCATTCCTTTGTGCAGTAAAAAGCTAACTGTTAGCTATCCTGCACCCACCTATGTAAAGGAAGTACCTGTCTCTCCAATGTACTTTTATCCAACCCCAGAGGTTTCCCTGCTTTGCTCTCTCCCACCCCCTTAATCTGTCACCAGTGGATTTCATGTAACCTTCCTCCTTTGATTTTATGTATAAAATAAACTGCAAACCGCCATTTTGCAGAGCATTTTCTCAATCTGTTCAGATTTTGCTTCCCGTCAATTGTTGACAGTTTCGCTCAAATAAACTCTTACAAGTTTTCTCTTAGGTTGGATATTTTTCATCAACATTACTCAACTGTTTCAAAAATAAACGTCTTTTTTAAACTTCATTTCCATTCTCTAGGTATAGCACTTGTGCAATAATGCCACTTATATTTTATCTTTCCCAGTAAAATAGTCATCTATTTCTTTGTTCCTACTTTCTTGATCACATTTTGAAGGAGAACATTCTTGCTCAGTGTCAGAATTTTGGTCTCGTTCTTCAACTTGATCTTCACCATCTGTGTCACTTTCATTTTCAAATTCAAGTTCATTTTCATCATTATCAGGCTCCACCAACATCTGTAGCAATATCTCAGCATCTTTCAGGTCATCTGAATTATAAAATTTTAGGTTGAGCCATTTTAGAAGGTAAAACCTACAAAGGAAAAATATTACCCTAAACAGGCACAATGAATCTGTCAGATTAATTAGAAAATAAAATACCTAATTACTAAGTTTCAATAAGAAAAGTATACTTACAATGTCTTTCTGGGATGCCTGAAAGGATAGTACTATATAAAAAAAACCTGTTGAAAAAATATAAAAAATATCTCAAATAGGCACAACAAATCTGTGAAATTAAAGATGCTGCAATGAAATACATCTTTACTGTACTAAGTCACAAACACCACTGGCGATAGGTTACAGTAGAGGGGTAAGATACAAAAGCGATGAGTCATGATACTTAAGTTAAGCGTTAGATATTTGAAAAATTGTGTGCAATGAATCTGTGAGATCAGTTGAGCCCCACGGAGGGTTAAGCTGCTGTGAAAACAATAATTGTTAAGGCGGGATTATAATGGTGGCATTAAATCTTCTATTTTTGAGATTTGGATCTCTGGTGTAATTCAAATTAATAAGTGTAATTTAGATTGAGACTTTTTGAAAGCTTTCTTTTCTTTCTTAGCCTCTTAATGGTTCTGGTTGCTGTACATTTACTATGCATACTGGTTTCAATGGTTCTATTTACTTAGGCCCAGTGCTGGCCATGTGACTTGGGAGAGGTTATGCATCTGTATGGAATCCACTCTCCAACTTAAATCTATATAATGTATGGCTCCTACTTAAATCTACATAACTTATGCAAAGGTTGTGATAACCAGCTTTACCACACCTCCCCCCACCCCCAACTACAGGAAAATACAAAACTTGGGACCAAACAAAGACTCCATGCAGTAGTTCGCAGTAATTTGCAGTAGTTTCCAGCAGATTCTGCCTAGCCAAAACTCCTCTTACTTTAATAAATTTTCTATATTTCTATCTGACTTGTGAATTCTTTCATGACCCACGAGCGAGCAGACACAACAAAAATGTCCCCACATGGACACCTTGATATGAACGCTAATGATTAAAAAAGAGTTTTAGAAGACTCTAGAGGAAGTCATAGTGTAGTGGAAAAAAGAAAAAGAATCAGATGGGCATCAGTCTTATCTGCAACTTTTGATTTTAGAAAGCGATGGATTTGGTGGTGATGGTAGTGTGTGTGTACGGGGGTAGGGATATAAATCTATAATCCTGTGGACAGAAAAGGGGCCAGATATTAATATGACAAGCTCAGGAGACTGAAAATAACCACATAAGATGGCTGAGCATAAAAAAATTTCATAACTAAGTGGGCCATGGCAGGAAGTCACATCTTTAGCTTCCTTCATAAAGTTAACCGTTGCCTTTTCAGTGGGCCTGTCTGTTGTTTTTTTGCACCTATATTAACATCTTTGGAATGTCAGTAATCCTTTTTCTGGGCCAGAGCTGAAAACTGCAAAATTCCTCATTATTATGCTTGTCTCCTGATTACCATCTCTATGTGCTGTAAAAAGCTAACTGCTAACTATCCTGCACTTGCCTATGTAAAAGTCTGGCAGTGGGCCCTAGACAAAGGCCTTCCCAGACCATGTGGTCACTAAGGATTTCATGCGGGCTTCAGACAAAGACATTCCTGGACATATGGTCATCAAGACTTTCGCATTTAATATTTCCAAATTCCTACCTCACCCGGGAGCCAGTCAGGAACTGGAACAATGGCCACATGTCCTAATAATAAATCTTAGCTGCCAACCTGGAAACTTCAGAGTATATAGCCCCGAGTCCCACCCGGGTTGGGGCTCAGCGTCTGGATGTAAATCTGCTGAGCCAGTGCTGGCATTAATGAAAGTTTCTTCCCAAGTCTTGGTGTCCTGTCTCTGTCTTGGGTTCCCTGCAACAAAAGAAGTACCTATTGTGGCAGTGAGCCCTAGACAAAAGCCTTCCCAGACCATGTGGTCACTAAGGATTTTGCGCTGGCTTCAGACAAAGACATTCCTGGACTGTATAGTCAGCAAGACTTCTGCGTTTAATATTTCCGAATTCCTACCTCACCTGGGAGCCAGTCAAGAACTGGCACAAGGCTGCATGTCCTAATAAGGAACCTTAACTGCCAACCCAGAAACCTCAGGGTATATAGCCCCGAGTCCCGCCCGGGTGGGGGCTCAGCCTCTGGATGTGAATCCACTGAGCCAGTGCCGGCATTAGTAAAAGTTGCTTCCCACGCCTTGGTGTCCTGTCTCTTTGTCTGGGTTCCCCACAACACTATCTTTCCCATTTACTTTTATCCAATCCCAGAAATTTCCCCACTTTGCTTTCTCTCACCCCCTTAATCTATCACCAATGGATGTCATATAACCTTCCTCCTTTGACTCTAATGTATAAAATAAGCTGCAAACTGCCATTTCATGGAGTATTTTCTCAATCCGTTGAGATTTTGCTTCCCGGCAATTGTCAGTTTGGTTCAAATAAACTCATAAGTTTTCTCTTAGGCTGGATGTTTTTCATTGACTTTACTTGGCATAGTTGGGCAGAATTCCAAAGAAGCCCACCCAGGAACACCCTGCGGACCTGGATTCCATGCTAGGTACCAGCAGGGATCCATTGTGCCCCACTGACTCCCTGCTTCACATCAGGTAAACTTGGTCACCCAAGTTTTTCTTGGAATTCCAGACCTCCCTGTTTTCACGTAGGAAGCCATGACTTTATTTGAGCTGTTTTTAAATTCTGGAGGTGGCAGGGTTGAGATAACCCAGGTTAAGGACAAGAGTTAACGTGACTCTTGGAGAGGAGAAAAAAATGGGTGGCTGGTTTTAATTTTGGCTTTTCAATTGGAATTGTTTACTGTGAGTCTGAACAAAACTTTTTGCTGAATAAGTGAGAGTCTGAATTTGTTCAATTCTGAAGATTAGGGGCATTTACTCCCTCCAGCTTGAATTTCAGGTATTCTTAGGTGACTAAGAATCTTTGTGGATGTGTTTGAGGGCACCCCTCAAAAAGTGCAGTGGTCCCATAGGGAATTCCAACACAACTGTAATTAAACATTGGACTCGTCTGGGGACGTGCACATAAAGGCTGGTAACCTAGTGCTCTGAGTCCTCACGGTTGTACGAGACAGCTGGGGAGAGAAACCGAGGCACATAAGAGGGTTGAAGTGACTTGGGAGGTGACAGCCCCTTGGAGCTCAACCCATAAGCAACACACTTCAACCCACTACATAATGTCACTAGATATTTGTTCAGACTCTGCAGATCTCAAAAGAAATCTAAATATTAGCATGGGAAATTGTGCCTCAAAGGCCGACAAGCTCCCAGACTCCAGAGCCATTATTCTCCTGCAGATAGGCGTACAGTTTCTAGGAGTTTTGCAAGTCCTTACAGATGTGGAAAGATTTATTTAGAAGTGATATCAACTTAAGATGGCCAAAATGGAGCTTTTTTGACATTTACTTGTAAATGTCATATTTGTGTGCACAATTAGAAAAAGCCGGCTTAAAAGTGAAACTAGGGGCTGGCCAAGTGGCTCAGTTGGTTAACAGCACAAGCTCTGAGCAACAGGGTCTCAGGTTCGATTCCCACATGGACTAGTGAGCTGTGCCCAAGCTGAGCTGCCACTGAGGTGCCCTGCCAACAGGTGGCAGGATGGCTCAGCTGGTGAGAGCACGTGCCCTTGACAACAAGTTTGCCGATTAGGCTCCCGCATAGCATGATGGGCTACGACCACCTGCAACTAAGATTGAACACGGCACCTTCAGCTGAGCTGCCCTGAGCTGCCAACCGGCAACCAGATGGCTCAGTGGTTAGAGCACGTGCTCTTAGCAACAAGGTTTCTGGTTCGACTCCCTCAAGGGATGGTGGGCTATGCCCACCTGCAATTAAGATTGAACACAGCACCTTGAGCTGAGTGGCCGCGAGCTGCCAATGGATGACCGGATGGTGACTGGACTTGGAGCTGAGCTAGCTGCACCCTCCACAACTAAGATAGAAGGATAACAACTTGGCTGTTCCCCTTCTCCAATTCCCCAACACTGTTCTCTTTCCCCAATTCTCCAATAAAATCTTAAAAAAAAAAAAAGTCAGGGCCGGCCGAGTGGCGCGATGGTTGAGAGCTGGCTTGGGACGCCAGAGGGCCCCGGTTCGGATCCCACATATGAGGGCCAGTGACACTGCCCT